AAATTAATGCAGACATCTGAAAATAGAGAGGAGGTGACTGCTCTGTAGCCATGAGCAATATCCTGTGAAATAAATAGCTTACCACTCATCAGAAGCAAGTAATAAGGTTTTGCTCCTCTAGCCTTTTTTTCGTATTGTAATAATGTATATTACAATAATGCTGATGGAATTTAAATTTTCCCCCCAAGACAAATTCCCCTTTTTTTATCTGTTTGTTTGCTTTTGTTTCTTTTTGTATTTAGGACAGGGTGTACAGGATGTATAGGGTCTCACTGTGTAGATCAGACTCGTAGTGAACCTCCTGTTTATAGCCTCCCAAGTGCTCAGATTACAGATGCGCGCCACCATACCCAGTCTCAATTGCAAGCTCAGCATGCCCTGGGGGCAGGGCTGGCACAGCAGGCCAGGGATTGAACTCCTGGCCCCTGCATCTGCCTAAGCAGGCATTTTAATCTGAAATTACTCTTTTTTAAAGCAGGAAATCTAGCATTGACAATTTGCAAAGCCCTCACCAGTTCAAAATATATTTCTATGGCCATAAAGAAGAACAGGGTACAATAAGATGACAATAAAACATTCTAGGTCCTAAATCTTTACCTGATACACTTATAGAGGTGAGTCGGCCTCGTTCCAAGGGAGGGGCCCACTGGATCCATATATTATGCTGGAATACTGACATTGCTCCCTAAAATAAGAAAGATTCAGCCATGTAATTGCTGATACGTATTGTGAATTTAAATCTTACTGTGAATTTAAATCTTAAATGCTCTTGTGAATTTAATTTAAATTCCATAAACATTATTGTAATATATGTTATCATAATACCTGAGCCATTCCCTGGACTACTCGACATGCAATGAGCAAATTTTCTCCAACTTGAGCAGCTGCTGGGATGAGCAGAGTGAGCACAGAGCTGAGGAATAATCCAAAGGCAATCATGTTCTTTGTAGAGAATATTCCAGATAAGCATCCAACAGGTATTTGAACAATGATTGTGCCATAGAAGATGGAACTTAAGATGATCCCTTGTATTTCAGGGCTCCAATTATAGACAGGGCCCTGAAAGAGAAGGGAGACACATACTGTGGAGCCATGGTAATAGCTAGGGTGCTGGAGAGTGTGGTCTTCTTGATAAGTCATGAAAAGTAGCCCTCCCTCCCTAATACTTTCTGTCAAAGGGCTACCTGTATTCCTTTATAATATATATATATATATATATATATATGTATATGTATATGTATGTATATATATATATATATATATATATAATCATTGAGGTTTTCAATTATAGATTGAGGATCCTTTATTAAAAATGCTAGGCCCTAGAAGTGTTTCAGACTTCACAGATAGGGAGGTGTCCTTAATTTAGGTCATGCCTATTTAACACATTACTGGCAAGTTAGATCAAGACTTCTGTCAGTTTCTGTAAAACTTGATGTGTACGGGGACAAGCAAGGGCTGTGGGAAGATGAAAGGATTTCTGAGAATGAGGCTGGGCTACCAAGGGAGGGGAGTGTGGGGAGGATTATGGCAAAAAATGTCCTACAGGCAGAACAGGCAGCCAGACAAGGAGTCAGGACAGCCCAGGGAAGGATGTGATGGCCACTGCCAGGGCCTCAGAGGCAGCAAACAAAATTCTCATTGGATTGGAGAGATTTTTCTTGCCTAGGAATAAGCTATCCAATCCTCTTTAATGAGTGTCTTCGTTCTGTTTGTTCCACCAGTTTTAGAGAAGTTACAATTAATGATGCATTTCCCCTTTGGGCGTACTTCTAGGTCAAACTTTCCTGCTTGTCACTCCATAGGCTGATCTCAACCTGGCTGAGATGTAGTAATTTTTTGTATATAAAAGCCCCCCTTGGTGACCCATTTGATCAGCATGGGAGTTTTGACCAGCTCCGTTTCTGATGTGGGCTGGTTCACCCCTCCTTAGGCAACCTGGTGGTTCACTGTGCCCTCCTGAGAGGTCACCACGTTGGTGCTGAACTTAGTGTAGACATCTGATCAGCATAGGGCACTGCAGCCCAGAAATCCTGGATGCAAGCAATCCTCCCACTTTGGCCTCCAGGGTAGGAAGGACTACAGGCTCACGCCACCACGCCCGGCTCGGTGACCCATTTGGATTCCCTCTCAGGTTCAGTATATTGCAGGCTTTTGTTTTCACTTTAAAATAGAGGCTGCTTTCTGCTTTTGCTCTACAATAAATACACTTGCTCAGTCTTCTGTTGGCTTTCTGCCTTGAAATTCTTCGTAGGTTGAGGAAATAACCCACTAGTCTGAAATAATATCTTCCTAATGATTATCGTCCTGTCAATAATATTTAAGCTTTATACAAATTAACATGGTAGGATTTTTGAAGTTATGGCTGTGGATAATGTTTTTGACATACCTTTATGTTGTTTGAATTCTCCCTTGAAGAGAAATTGGTGGGCCCCATTGTGCCATTCACCATCACCACCATTGTAAGGCTCAGGCTTGTACGCTGCATCATTAGGGCCCCATTGCAGAAGTGCAGGAGCAGGGACAAGCCATAGCGGAAGGAGAAGAAGCCTGGCACTGGGAAGAAGTACAGAGATCCCAATTATGGATCAGCTGAGATACAGATACACTTTAATTTCAGGGAGAGCCATGCAGAAGTCCAGAACCTGAATGATTAAATTAAATTTTATTGTACTCATGGTGTTTGAGAAATTAGGATATAAGATGTGTGACTGAAGTAACAATAATCCCAGTCACTTTAAAATATAATTCCAAATAAAATGTTCCAGAGAATTAAGACATTAAGACATACAGAAGAAAGTACCCATCAGAAGAAAGTAGGGAAACCAGAAATATACACTTGCATAGTCAGGTATGAATACATATATTGGCCTAATTTAATGGAGGAAGTAATGTCTATTCCAATGAATTTATAAAAAAGTCTTGCACAGAAATATTCGTAACTGCTTTATTCAAAATAGCAGAACTGTTAGAAAGAATGGCCATATTGTGGCATAATAATACAAAGCATAATCCTCAGGATTAAAATTAAAATAGCACTGAGATCCCCCCTGGCAAAATAGCCAGCATCAAGAAATCTAATAATAACAAATGCTAGTAAGGGTGTGTGGGGAAAAAAGAACACTTCTCTATTGTTGATGGGAATGTAAACTAGCATAACCGCTATGGAAATGAGAATGGAAATTCCTCACCAAACTAAAGCTAGAAATTCTATTTGACCCAGAGATTCCCCTTCCAGATAGCTTCTCAAGAGAGTTATGATTATAGTACAGTGGTGCATGATGCCCATGGCTATGGCAATAAAATTTGTAATAGCTAAGTCTTGGAAGCAGTCTACATGCCCACTAACAGGTGTGTATTTATACACAGTGGAGTACTACTCCGCCATATAGACAAATAAACTCGAGTCATTTGTAGAAAAATGAATGCACTTTGAGTGATTAGGATATTAAGTGAAAGAAATGAGAAATTCAAGTTTAAATATCACATGCTTTCTTAATCATATGAGGAATCCAAAACACAAATAAAGAGAAAAATAAAGATTAGATAACAGGGAGTAGGGAGATAGATCTTTTTAAAAGGAAAAGAGGATCAGGGATGAAGCGAGGGTAAAGGAGAGGAGGGAAAGGGGATGCAAAGGGACTAAAACGTGTTCTGTGTACATGCCCAACTCTGCTCAAGGAATGTGAGCATTATGTGCTGCAAATCTGTACAGTACTAATATAGTTTTTGAAAAAGAAAGAATCATTGATATTCTTGACAGTCTAGATGAATTTCAACAATGATACTTGGCTAATAAGTTTGGACACCAGAGGTTGTCTACTGTAGCAATCTGTTTTTATGAAGTTCAGAAACAGGTAAAACTAATCTACACGACTCTTCTGTCTCCAAGTCAACAGTAAGTCTCTTCTTGATGCCGTTGACTGCTCACACTTGAATCTGACTGCTCCATTGCTGATGTTTAGACTCCCATTTAGAGGGTTCTTGGTTAGTTCAGGCTTGCTGGGACCATTTCCCCATTTAAAACCCACCAGATTGGGAGAACGGTGACTTCTGAAAGACTCTGTCACATGGCACCTAGCTCAGTGTTTGCCTAGTTAATTGGAAGATGTTGTATGAGCTGCACCAGCATTCGGGAATCTTAGGTGGTGATCTTAGAATTTGGCTGGTCACATTCTATGCTCTTGACTTGAAGATTGATGTTCACCCCACGTGCACTTATTACAATATCACCTTTAGCCTGATTCCTCACTGAAAGCTCAGTGTAAAATCTGAAAATCTCACCCTCTAAATCAAGTCTAGATAAATCTGTTAAGAGTAAAGCAACGTGGGGCACCATTTCTGTCTGGACTTGTGAAACCAAAGTGACAATTTCATTGTTGAAATTCATCTAGACTGTCAACACTAACTCTTTCATCATATAATGGTGAATCAGAAACTACAAACATTAGAATTCCAAGAGGAGGAAGAGGAAGGGAAAAGGGGGTCCCTTATTCCTAAAAATGTTGAAGTTCAGCTAAATATTATTTTAATTGTACATATATATGAAGCACAATACGGTAATACAACACATGCTGTTATTGTGAAGCATGACCTTGGTTGTCAGCTTGAGTGGATAGACTGATGCCTAGAAAAAATTATGAAGCATGATTCTGGATGTGTCTAGGGGGATCCAGTAGGTTTGGGGCCAGATGGCATGAAAGGGGGGAGAAGAGGGAAACTCATGAATGCCTATGTTTGATCCCACTTCACCAAGAACAGTTTTTGCTGATGCTGCCACAAGTGCACAGCAGGCTCCACATTCTTCGTCCTTTGGGCACAGCCTCACACCTACAACTCTGCAGGAGCCTTCCAGGCCCTCATGACTGAGAGATGTATCATTGATTCTTCTTGTTTTGAGGCTTCAGGCTTCCTGGACAGGACAGCCAACAGCTTCCCCAGCTCCCTGGCCATGGTGGGACTACTCAGCCTCTGATCAGGTTAGGCAATCTAATCAGTCCCTTTTGATACTTGTATGTGTTCTATTGGTTTGGATCCTTCGGAGAGCTCTGACAGGCATGTACGTGCTGTGCGTACTGGGTGGTGAGCAATTCCATCTCCATAAACATCTCCAGAAATCGTTTGATTAACATGTAATCACTATACATATTGATGAGGTGCTGTGTGAGATTTCCACATGTGTACAATGCACAGTGAGTAAATCAGGCAAATTATCATTTCCATCTCCTTATTATTACTTTGTGCTTAGAGCCCTTGAGGTCCTCTCTTGTAGTTATTCATAAAATATGTGATAGGTTTTTGTGGGCTATAGTTATCCTATCTTGCTATAGAACACTAGAATTTACCACCTCTTACTTCAGTCCACAAGAATTGCATACTTCTTGTGTGCAGGGTGTTTTGTGTGTAGGGTCTCACTATGCAGCTCAGACTTGTAGTGATCCTCTTATTTTCAGCATTGCTAGTGCTGGGATTACAGGTGTCTGCCACCACACCTGGTCTCAGTGATTAGCTCAATGCACCTGGGGGTGGGCCAGCATGGCATGTGGTGCCAGGGATGGAATCCTGGTCCCTGTGCTTGCCTAAGCAGGTGCTTTGTCTACTGAGCTATCTCACCAGTCTTACAAATCTCTCTTCTCACTGAACTAAGAGAAAGTAGCTGTATATCTATCTTAACTTTTGTATATACAGATATACATATATATCTGTATATATATATTTTGACTACAAAATGGTCCTTTACTTATATCCCCCTTTTTTGTTTTGTTTTGTCAGAGGTGAGTATTTCATTGCCATTCAAATATTGTAGGTGTGTGAATTCAGCAAAATAATCCAATATAGTCCAGTAGCCCACAATAGTAGTGGGTTATCCACAGAACTGACCATGTCAAAAGTTGTTGACTTGAGCCTTTTACAGCTCAGCATATTAAAATGGCTTTACTTTTTATACCTCAGTTCAATGAGAAGAAAAATTTGTACTAGCAGTGTGCAGACAAGATATCATGTCTGAATCTTATACTATGAATAACTACTATAAAAACAACAATATGAAATGTATTAATTATTTTAACTGTTCTACTAACCCATTTTGTAACTGTCTCCTTGCTATTTTTCTCAATAAAATTAATAAAAAAGAACTGCATAACAACACAAAATTCAGTTCTATAGGATTATATAAAAATACTTATACATTTAATAGAATAACCCGATATATAAAGCAATCTATCCTTTAAAACTATAAATAATGATATGAAAACCCTAAATAAAATATTAACAAAATAAATTCAATATTTTTTAAAAAATACTTTAAAAATATATTAAAACTAAGGTTTGTTTTAGGAATGAAAGATTTTTTAATATTAGAAAGTTGGTAAACATTTAACACAAATTAATTAGATAAAAGTATAAGAGTTTAAAAGATAAAAGTATACTCTGCTTGGAGTTAAGATTTATTCACAATAAAACTTTTGGGGAACCATGGATTTTTTGAGGGATGGATTGTGTGCAGAGTTTCACTACACAGCTCAGACTTGCAGTGATCCTCCTATTTTCAGCCTCCCTAGTGCTGGGATTACCGGTGTGCGCCACCACACCTGGTCTCAGTGGCTAGCTCAGTGCGCCTGGGGGTGGGCTAGCATGACATGTGGTGCCAGGGATGGAACCCTCGTCCCTGCTCTTGCCTAAGCAGGTACTTTGTCTGCTGAGCTATCTCACCAACCTTACAATTCTTAAAACACTGAGGAAAGCTGGGTGTGGTGACGCATGCTTATAATCCCAGAATTTGGGAGGCTGAGGCAGAAGAGTATAAAATAAGTCCTGCCTGGGCAAGACTTTCTCTCAAGATAAAAAGCATTGGGGAGTGCAGCTAAATGTGAAGGTCTTATATTTGATCCCAGTCATTAAAAAACAAACAAACAAACAAACAAACAAACAGTAAAACACTGTTTAGTTTATGCAAGTAAATAGAAAACTGCGTTAATAGCAAACAAATTAGTTGGCTGGTTTCCTGGACTAAAACTGTAAGCAGATTAAAAAATACTGAATCTATTTCATTAAAAGCATATATAATCTGGCAGGAAAGATGAAATATTAAGGCTAAGATCTTAGTGAAAACAAGGTCCTCAAAACTGAGCATTGAAGGCAGATTTTGCTTTGAGACATTTGATCTCAGAATTTTGGCCTCTCTGGGGATAACAGCAGTCAAATGCCATGACCCTAACAATGAAAGAGCATGAAAAGAGGCCTCACACCAAATACTGAGATACCAAGGGCTTATGGGTCCTCAAAGGATGAGCACACAGCTGCCTAGCCTCAGCAGGGTACTGCCAAGACATGCCTCTGAGAAATTCAGCAAGATCAGGCATATTCAGGGTTGTATGGCCTAGATGCCTTGGGCACATTTAATCATCAGCCAGTTCTGTCTTGATTTTTAGCCTGAACTCATCATTTTTGTGTCTTCTGAAAAAAATCAACAACCAAACCAAACAAAAATCCATCTCAAGCCATAGACACACACCCTCCTGTGAGTGGACAGGAGACTGAGACAGCAAGAGCAGAGTGAGAGGACTGAAACTTTGGGGATGGCAGCCCTCACCAAATGCAGTAAGAAGAGCAGCTGAACTTGGAGATGGATGAAATGTGGGGCTTGGGACAAGGTCAGCCTCAAGAACACAGAGCCTTGGAGGCAATTTGCATGAATAAACTGTTCGGGTGTCAGGAACACTGAGGCCCCAGACAAGTCATGTGAATAAACTAGAGGTAAAGGTGTTTCAAGTGGCACTCAAATGCCCAGGTGTATAAATAAACGTGCTGTACCCATTGAGGCTCTCGCTTGCTCTCTCCTTTCCTCCTCTTTTCCCTCCTTTTCCTTTTCCTGTTCTTCCTCTTACTTTTTCCTTCCTCACTTCTCCCATACAGAAAGAGGGCTTCATCTTGCCTCAGTTTCCTACATTCTAAATCTTGTCTTTTCTTCTGCATCCTCTTACCATCCTCTCCCCTGGAAACTTTGAGAGCTGCATGGGATGTGGCAATGTGGCATCAGAGCACCAGGGTATAAGGAAATGTATCAGATAGCAGGTAAGAGGAAACCTCTAGCTGTGCACACACAGAAAAAATAGATTCCAGAGAAGCTGAAGAGGAAAATATGTTCACTAGGGCCAATGAGAAGAATGGGTTCACTAGGGCCAAAAGAGCAAAACAGGCTCACAAGAAAACAAAAGGGAGAGAGGTGTATTTCTTCTATCAGGTGTTAAACATGAAGCAAGTAGGCTCTCAAGAATAACAGATGTGTATACAAATCCTCATTCTATTATGGATTCTTATACTTACTTTTTTGTGGACCTAAATCAGGGAGTGTCTTAATGGTCATGTACCTCTTGAGATGACCACAGAGGATCTGGCTCAGAGTACTATAAAATTAAGTCCTGAGCAGAAAAGTGATGGCAGAGTAATTGCCCCTCTAGAGAGCTTAAACCCTTTAACTTTGCTCAATCAGATAAGAAAGGATCTGTAAGGGACAAAAAAAAGAAATAGCTAAACCATGTTTAAGTCTGGGGAATTATTTATTGTGGAAGGGACATGATTTATTTGTATGCGGATCAGGTTACCTGTGCAGCCAACTCAGCACAGCACAGTGCCTCAGGACAGAGAGGTGTGGGCCTGTGGGGAGAGGTCTCCAAATTCAAATCCCAGGTAGACTCAGCAGGACCCTGCCTGCCAGCTATGCCCATGGCTCCTTTCACCCCACCCATGACTGAGAGCCACCGGAGCCACAACAGCCCAAATGGGAGAAGGCAAAAGCTAGGGAAAAAATGGCAGACATGGCTGCAGAGGCAGTGACTACAATGTTTGCCAGGGAGGGGGACATTGACAAAGCTGACCACTCAAGTTGGAAACATAATGATGCTAACATTAGTTCTGTAAATGAAATGTATATTGTTCTTAAGATATTATGATTTGAGAGTCTCTCAACTAGTCTCCCATTTAACACAAAATAAGTTAAATGTTATGATTGGGTTTTATAAGTCATCAAAAAATTATTAAGACAATTAAACCAAAATTCCTTGGAGTGTGGAGAGACTGTTGGATAGGTCTCCAACTGACAAGGAAACACCTGCCTGCACAATTATCCAGTCCTTGCTAATTACTGGAAGCCCCAGTAATCTCCACAGATTTGTGGGACATGGCATCCATTGGCCCCTCCCTCCTGCCTCTTCCTCCTCCTTCTTCCTTTCTGAGTTCTTCTCCCATCTGGAGAGAGGGCTCCATCTGGCCTTAGTTTCTGTATTCTGAATCTTGTCCTTTTTTCTCCACCCTCTCTGCTGTCCTCAGCCTGTGAACTTTGAAAGCTGTGCACGATGTGGCAGAGAAAGCCAATCTTCCTCCTGGACTAACCTTTCAAGTTTTGTTCATTTCTGCTCTTTGTCCTCAAGGAAGACCATCAATTAATGTCTAAATAAATCTTGAGTCAAAAGATTACAAGGGGATTCTTAAGTGTTTGGGACTAAGGAGTAGTAAGAATACTGCATGTCAAACTCATGAACTTCTTACCACAATGTATAGCTCTAAACACATTTATCAGAGAGTTGGGAACTCAAACATTTGGTATCTGAACAAAGAAACAAGTCAAAGATCTAAAAGGAAAAAAAACGCTAAGCATAAGGCAGGGGTCAGTGATATAAATACAAATATATATATATATATATATTTAAATTTGAGCAAATGAAATAGAAATTAAAAATTTTAAATGGTACAAAAATAAATATAAAATTGAATAGACTGCTAGCCCTTACATTAACAAAGAAATCATATAATTCACTGTTCTTCTCCTCCTCTTCTGAAATTTTGCCTAGCATGACTGAGACAAAAATCTTACCCAAGTTGTAGTAAATCTTTCTGTCCTGATCCCATCCTGTTTAGGTTCTCTCAAAATATATTGAATCAATATCCAAGTACTGCTTTCCAAGGAAGCAGACTCAGCAGCATTCATCTTGCCTTACTTCCATTCATAGATCTATTTGCCTCTCCTTGAGGGTGGAACAAAAATCATTGGACCCTTTTTGATGTTCTTCACCAAGCAATAAAATGGGAAGTGTACAAGAGCAGAATAGTAGCTTCAAGTATGAACAACAAGGGTGCATGGATTTTTTTTTTTTTAATTCAGGGATTTTCTGATATTTTTCCTCCACCATTTTCCTGAAACATCTCTCAGACTCTCAATTGGTTTCCACAGAGAAACTCTTCCTAGGATACAGGGAGTTATATTTCAGAAGGAGAAAACCTGTAAGTGTTAGGGAGACTAGAATGCTACCTTTCTTAGGAAGGACTTGGTTCTCCATTTGTGGACTCCACTTCTCTTTTTCCTGAAGAGCTTGTTCTGCATCCACTGTGGGTAAAAAAAAAAAAAACACATGGACATCAACACAACTCAGGGAAACAACAGACCAGTGTCCTTCAAGTTCTGCTCTGAAAGGTACTCTGTTCCAGCATCTTCTTCATTATGAGCTTCCTTTTTTGAGTTTCTTTTTTCCCCGATGTTTCAAAAACGTTTTTATTATGCTCCAAATTAGTGGTGGCAAGCCTATTTCAGGTGTGCTGCAGTGGACTGTTTGTTCATTGAAAGCTCTAAAAGGTCTGTGATCACTGCTCTGAACTTCTTAAGTGTGCACTTCAGCCACACTCAGTACATTCACTCTGCAACCATCACCACCGTCCATTTTCAGAACTTTTTCATCTCAGCAAACTGAAACTCTGACCCAAACTGTCCCTTCTGCCAGGCAACCACCACTTTACTCCTTACTGCTTTGGACTCAGTTTCTCTGTAATAAAAGAGGGGGTGCTGTTCACTAGAGGGATGATTTTATGTATGTAGACTTTACTGCGTATATGTGACTGAGTTCGTTACAGAGAAAGGTTAACAAAATGAGTTTCAAGGAAGAAGACGTGGAGACACAAATTGGATGTGAACCTCCTAACTACAAGCTTCAGCAGCCCTGCAGTGGATCGATTTTTTTCTCATCAAGAAGTTGATCTTTTGAGTCATTTCCATGTCGTAGATCTGCCTGCAGGTTTCGCAGCTTTCCTGCTGGTGGCAGCAGCAAGGCTTTTCATAATATCTTCGTCACTTAATGTCCTCAGTGAGCCCGTCCATCGTGAGGATTCTGTTTAGTGTCCTGTATGCACCTTCCACGTTCCCATCTTGTGCCATCACAGTCCTGACAATGAACTTCAGATGTTTTGCCGTGATCTCGGATTTAGGTCTTCACTCTGAGGAACCATCCGCCATTCCTCCCCAGCCCAGGATCCAGCTCCTTCATTCCTTTTATGAGTTTTGTTGTTGATTAAAAATATACAGAAAAATTGAAAACTATAGATAGCAAACAAAAGCCTACACCGAATTCTATATCCAGTAAAAATATCCGTCATAAGGACAACTGGAGACGTTATTACACAAACAAGGACTAGATGGCCAGCAGACTTTACCCTCCCTTCAGATGCGAGGAGATTGCTACTGGTGGGAAATTTGTATATTCAAAGAGAAAAAAAATGCTGGAAAAGGAATAAAGGTAACAAATTCTCTTTGCGTCTTACTATAGCTGTGAGATTGCCTTATCCCTCTTGAAGATAGGTAAATCATTCTCCATAGCTCTAAGCGAACCTGTGTGGAGTCTCAGTTCCGTAGAAAATGCAGCTGGTACCCTCAAGTCTGAATATTGTGTGTCTACTGGCAGGAAGATCATCAAGGAGGAGGAATCTGAATGAACTTACTTCATCCTGGGGAGCCCCTTACAAATCAGTTTCCAGTACTCACGTAGACTTATCAGTCTAACCCTCAAGGTCTGGCCTCCTCCATTTATATGACACTGGGTGCCTGAAAAGCACCCCAATCCTGCAACTCAGTTCATAAAGTAGTTATCAGTGACTCCACCATTATCACATATTGGAACCTCTTTAGGGATCACTGTTTACTTCAATACATACACACACGTACCACATAGCACTCACCACACAATATACAAATCAATACATACAACACAGCATAACAACATAGCATGTATTTAATACATACATGCCCTTAAACCAAACATGCAAACAATACTATAACAACTACATGTGTTCAAACCATATAACCACACATACAACACTCATATACACACTATACACAGCATGTCACATACATCATAGACACAGACTTAGCTATTCTCTACCACCAACACTCCAAGCCACTCACATATAATACCAGCACCACACAACACACATTTTCTCTTATGTCCTTGTGTGTGCACAACTATTCAATTCACACTCATTCCTAAAAAGATTCTTTTCCTTTCCTGTGAAAAGCTTCAGAAGAAAAGCATATTGTTTTCTCAAGAATTTTCCCCTATCACTAAAAACTAAATGAGATTTCTATCATGGAAGGATCCCTCTCTCCTGAAAATTTAATTAGGTATTACTATCCCTTTGAGAGCATGTTGTAAGAGGCAGAAGACTAACCTGGTTCAGTACAGAAGAGTGATTCCTCCTGCTCTTGTGAAGAAATTTCCAACTCAACTTTATATATTGCTTAATTTTTGAATTTTCTACATTTTTTTTTCTCGCTGTGTCTCATACCAAATACTTTGACCTCGTTGTGTCAATACCAAAAGTTTAATTTTTAACTTTCTCTCACTGTTGAATCTAATCTGCTAAGAAGCATAAGTCTTAAAATGCATTTAGGAATCTGGAAAGCTCCTGGGAATCTGACAGCACTATCCTGGCAGAACAGGTTCTCATCCAGCCCAAGAAGCAGAATTTGCCTTCCAAAAGTCTAAGATTGCTCTGTCGAATGGCTCTGTATTCCAGATTACTGATGAAGAGATGTTCTCGTTTGCTAAACGTTCTAGAAGCTTTATTCTCTCCCTCTGTCCCCCTTTCCTTTCCTCCTTTCTTCCTCCTTTGCTTCTTTCTCTCTTCTCCTCTTGAACCCTCTTTTCCTCTTCTGTTCTCTGACCTCCCCTTCCTCCCTTCCCAGCTCCCCCTTTCTCCTTCAGCTGGCTGCACAGTTACCCCCTTTCTCAATCTCCTCTCAAGGTCTGTGCCTATTTGACATTCGTCTCACAGTCTCTCGTGCTCACTTGGGGTCACCTGCTTCAGATGCCTGCCCACGAGCCCTTGAATCAGGGATTTTTGTGCTCTGCTTAATTGACTACAAGCTAAGCATTTTTATTCTTTCTTATACGTTCCAAATCATCATCAAATGTTTTGAATTTATCAGATATTCTCAAGTTGAATTGGTTATTTTTTTTCCTTAAATAAATGTTTATTGTTTTGCCCAGGAGATTGTAGTACTTGTTGTTCAGTTGATTGTTTGATCCTTAAGTCTAGACTGAATTGTGTGTTTCAGAAAATGTGTTATCTGGTCTTTTCCAAACCTCAAGTAGCAATTTCTGGGAAAGGAGGCTTTTAATAATTAAAAGCCCAGTCAGCAAGTGCTTAATGTCCACTTTGGAACAAACGTGTCTCGTCTGGTACTGGAATCTCAGGTTTTCAGTACTGATTACATATTCTGTTTGCTTTGTGAGACTGAAATTGCTCCTTAAGGATTCTTCACCTGGAATCTGTGTTTTATGTATTAAAGTTTTGAATTTAATGGTTTTAATAAAATAAATAGAAAAATGTAAAGCTTGTCAAAAAAAGTAGAGCAGTCTAAAATAACCAGCATCAATAATTTTCAATATTTGATTGTCGAGCTTTCATATTTAATTTTTTATCATTATTTCAAAGGAACTCTGAGACACAGTCAGTTTTCCTATAAAAATTCAGTATGGATACCTAACTTATAAGAACTTTTAAAAACATTGCTACCAAGACATTAATACATCTGGTAACTAATAATAATAATCCATTAGTTAACATTTAATACCCAACCATTATTTAGGTAACAATTTTCCCAGCAGCCTCAAAGTTGTGTCCTTTATACTTGATTAATTCAAATGATGATATAAAGAGGCCCCATGCACTAATTCTTTAGGTGCTAATACCTCTTTTATTCTGTTACAATCCTCTCATGCCATTTTATATTTGCTGTTGCATTAAAAATAACAGTAACAAGAATAACAACAGAACAAAGTCATTTGCAGAAAGTTTTTCATTACTCATTTGGCAAATTGTTTCCTTTTAGTGACATTTAATATATTTCTTTATGCCCTTATATCCTATAAATAATAAGGTCTATATTAAGGCTCAGCAAGAGCGCATCTTAGGCATGGTGCACTGCCTAATTGCTTCCTGTCTAGAGACACAAGACAGCAGATATCTCACTCTTAGCCATGGTTAGATGAGTTACCAAATACAGAGTCTCCCCATGACTCATAAGTTAATAAAGTTTCCATCAACCTTTTACCTCTGGCTTTTGGCTACTGCTAGTAAATGTTTCCCAAGTTTCTCATTTCAGTACAAGTTTTTAAATGGTGTTTTTCTGATTCCAACATTACTTCTTCTTTTTTTTTTTTTTAAACTTTTTTTTTTAAT